CTTGTACAGGCGTCCGGGCGACTCGTCCGCAGCCTTGGGTCCACACTTAGATGTACGTTTCTTTGCTGGTGAGAGGACGTATGGATGATATGGACGGTGGTGCAAGCCGTCTGACCACTGGGTTTGGAGGCAGCAGCAGGCCTGAGTGATCCCATCCTCAGGTCTGGGATCAGAGTTCCTGAAGGGACATCCAGGGGCCCAAGGCAAAGAGCTAGATTTCCCCCAAACACCGACCTCTCCCCAGAACCCCGGGGTAAAAGCCTCTCCCTGGGAGGGAGGCCGGTGCCTGCGGCTGGCTGTGCTTGGTGGCGAGGAAAGGGAGGACAGTCCTGAGCTAAAACCCCTACAGCACTTTGTTTTTAATTTACATGTAAAATTTTAGATTTCTAAAACTGGGGGAAAATCATTTTGAATACTGTTCTGTGATCGTAAGTGCTAGTTTCGAGGACACTGCCCGCTGTCTGTGTGTCGTGTGTGGCCATCCCTCCGTGAGTTGTCACCGTAGCTGCGGGAAGATGCGTCAGCCAACGCGGAGGCCAGACGTCCTCGCGCTCCCTGTAGCCGCTGTGGTCCCACCTCTCCATTGTGTATATTGATGATAGGTCAGAAAGTGTCTCCACTACAATAAAGCTCTGGTTCTAACTCCACTGGGAGAATGGGTGGTTTTTTTTGTCTTGTTTCTAATCCTGCATTCTCTGTTGCTTTTTGAGCCAAGAACATAACATAAAAAGGCTTTTATTTCTTTTTAATCTGCTTTCACCTCCCATGTCAAGGTTTCACAGGGTGCTGGTCTTCAGCCTACATCGGTTATGTTGAACTCACCTTCCCCATACAGAAACATTAAAGGATTAAAAAAAAAAAAAAGATAATATCCTCTTTACCAGGCACACAGGCCGTGCACTCCAATCAGAAATTGCTGTGTGTGTGTGTGTGTGAGCGTGCCACCCACAGCAGGGAGCACAGGCTAGTTTAAATAAATAACACGTGGGCATACACTCGGCCTTTCCTATTTCCAAACAGGCGAGGTGGGTCTGAGGAATTCAGCGATGAGCTGGGAGCGAGTGTGGCCGGTGGCACTCTGTGGGTGATACCAACTGCCTACGGCTGCTGCTGACCAAAAAAGGAAGCTGGCCCCTGGGCTTTGGAGAGGGCACAACTGCTGGCTCTGCTGAGCCTTGCAAGGCCTTTGGGAGATCAGGAGTGAGCCTGGTGGCTCCCAAGTTGGCTGCTAACACACTAGGGTCCCTTTGGGCTTCTAAAGGCCCAGGTTCCTGGCCCCATCTGCAGAGCCGGCTTCAGAAGGCTAGGCAAGGCCCAGGAACCTGCATTTTTAGCGCTCCCCAGATCTGCCTAAGGCTAAGCCTGAACCTTGTCAAACTAAGTGCTGTCAGAGAAGAGTTCCCACCACACCCCCGACTCACACCTCTGGTACCTGACGGCTCACAGAAGGTTCCCAGAGCCTTCTGGGAAGAGATCGGGCTGTTCCTTAAAACGTGCTTGAAGAGACAGCGTACAGATACTATCGCACAAAGCACTCTGACCTTTCACCTGGATCCATGGCCGTGATGAGCTAAATCAAGCTCAAATCTTTTTAATACGTCTTGNTGTCCTGTCCTTCCAAGGGGGTGGAAATCAGGCGCACGGTGACACGTGCCTTCAAGAGGGAAAGCGTCCCCGCACCCTTTGCATTCGCTCCTGCAGTTGGAAAGCCAAACGTGTGACCGGCTGGCTCAGCCGACCCAGGTGCCTGCCTTTGCCTGTGGCCCTGGCCCTGGCCCTGCCCATGTGCCCAGCTTCAGCCACCTGACAATCATGTCTCCTTCCCCCGGCAGGTGTGGACACCATGGCCAGCTACGAGGAGGTTTTGCACCTCCTGCGCTATCGAAACTGGCACTCCAGGTCCTTGCTTGACCGGAAGTTCAAGCTCATCTGCTCTGAGCTGAATGGGCGCTACGTCAGCAACGAGTTTCAGGTGGAGGTGAGCGCAAGGTTGCCGTGGAGAAGGGTCCCGTGCTCGGCCCTCATGTTTGCAAACGCCGATTTTTAGAGCACTGTGGTGGCAGCTAGGCGGCTCCGTCCCAGGGGTGGAGACTTTTCCAGCTGGTGGCTGCTGCAGGTTAGACCTGCGCAGGTTTGGGGAGATAGGTGATGCGGGGCGGGCTGGGTTCAGTGTGGTGCTCTCCTTTTATAGGCTGTCTCCACCCAGAGCCTCAGGGGCCTTTGGAGGGAGGTGGTCAAGAGCAAGTGGCAGTTAGTGGCTCAGGGTGGGGACAAGGACGTTAGCTGAGGTTGGACACTGCTTTAGAAGGAGTGGCACCTAGGGGCTCAGCAGTCCTTGGTAGGTGTGGACGGCTGGCCTTGCTGTGAACCAATCCTTGGCCCAGGGTGAGGGACGCTGGTGCAGGGCCAGCTCCGTGCAGGCCTGCTGTCTGCCGAGCCTGCCAGTGGTGGCCCAGGCCACCTGTCCTCCTTTGAGATCTTCATGGGGCTCCACGGCAGCTCCTTTGTCACTCAGGACTTCTGTGGCCTGGAGAAACGGACCCAGTTACTCTGAGCAGTTGACCTCTCCTCACCACTGTGACCTTCCAGCAGCAGGAGGCTACACTCAGAGCAGAAAAACCGATGAGTGTTCTGTTTGAGTGAAAGGGTATAACAATTCGAAAGGAAATAAATGGTTATGATTTGTGCTCTCTTTCATGTGGTGGTGGTTTTAGGGAAAAGAGGGGAAATGGTTTTATACTGGTGCTTCTCAGACGAATTGTGGTGAAGGACCAGTGGTGGTATTTGGGTTTTTTCCCAGCCTATGGCGGATGGATTCTTTTATGAAATACAATAAAAATGAATGATCAGAGCAGCGATATGTTTCTTGGACATGTGACAATGTCAGATTGTTACAGCAGTCTCCAAGTGCTTATTAGCATTGTTTTTTTTCAGTCCTTTTCTCGTCGGCTCAGCAGCTCCAGTCCAGGGAACGCTTTGGGTGGCGCTGGTCATGTCCGGCCCCGAACGGCATGTCCGTCTCTCAGGCACATTCAGGCTGCCTTTCTGTCTCTGCTGCAGGTGAACGTGATCCACACGGCCAACCCCATGGAACACGCCAGCCACATGGCCGCCCAGCCCCAGTTTGTTCACCCCGAGCATCGCTCCTTCGTTGATCTCTCAGGTCACAACCTGGCCAACCCCCACCCGTTTGCAGGTAGGACTGTGGGGCGGAGCCCCGGCCTCAAGGAGGGATGGGTGAATACTCCTTACCCCTTCCTGCCGAGAGGCTGGCCCCTGCTCAGGAACAGCCAACGGCCAGGCAGGCTCTGCCAGTGCACGTCACACAGGGAAACGGAAGCACTGATGGCAGAGTCACCCACAGCCACAGGGCAGCCAAGTGGCCGGACCCAGATTTGAAGCCTGTGCTGAGCTTCTCTGATGTTTCTTCCTGTCCTCCCGGTGTCAGACGAAGCTTTCAGTGTCTGTCAGGGGTGCGATGGCCCCTGGCATAGGGTTCGTCATCACAACCCTGTTGTCTCTCAATCTCCTTGCAGTTGTCCCCAGCACGGCCACTGTGGTGATTGTGGTGTGTGTCAGCTTCTTGGTTTTCATGATTATCCTGGGAGTGTTCCGGATCCGGGCTGCTCATCAGCGGACCATGCGGGACCAGGACACCGGCAAGGAGAACGAGATGGATTGGGACGACTCCGCTCTGACCATCACCGTGAACCCCATGGAGGTAGGCGCGCACGGTGGCCCCACACCTGAGAAGCCCTGCAGGCCGGGGTCAAAGCTGGACTCGCCTCAGAGGGCCAACGCGGCCACAGCACCTTCCCCTTCACGTGCTTTATGTTGTGTGAGCTGTGTGATGACTCTGGGAGGTGCAGGCGTCCCTGTATTTCAGGAGGGTAAACTGAGGCCCAGCGAGACCCTGGATAAGGCCATGCCACCTAGTTAGTAAGCGTGTGCACAGCCCCTGTGGGTAGTGACCAGAGCCTTGTCTTTGCCTCTCGTATTTGACGAGGCGGCTTCCAGTGCAGTCCAGCCCCACTTGCTATGGAGTGTGACCCGGGGGTCCCTTCCGGTGGGGCTCTCGGGAAGTGACCAACACGGGGTGGCTGGGGGGTGAGCTGGGGCAGGGGCTGGCCTCACGTGGCCATCCCTTTGTCAGACGTACGAGGACCAACACAGCAGCGAGGAGGAGGAAGAGGAGGAGGAGGAGGACAGCGAGGAGGGCGAGGAGGAGGACGACATCACCAGCGCGGAGTCGGAGAGCAGCGAGGAGGAGGAGGGGGAGCACGGGGACCCGCAGACGGCCAACAGGCAGCAGCAGCTGGAGTGGGACGACTCCACCCTCAGCTACTGAGCCCTGTCGCTCCCGCCTCCCGTTCTGCTTCAGGAGACTCTGCTGTCACCGTCGCGCCAGCCCCAAGGGTCCACGATGTACAAAGTCATTCTGGCCAGTAGGTCTGCAGACCCTCCCCCGCGCCCACCGTCTGCTTGGTGTAGGACCCTAGGATCCCGCCCTTCCGCCCACCCGCCCTCCGCCTGGATCTCTTAAGTTATGTGAGGAGCGGACACTTGCTCTCTCCTGCCACCTTGCCCTGCGTGGCCCCCTCACACCTCCAGAAAAGCCAGTGACTGGACTCGCTGACAAAAGGTTCAAGTTGCTCGTTTCTACCTGGTAATCGCTTTCTTTCTTTCNCTAGGGCTTCACCCAGGGTCACTTCATTAACATAAACTGTGGGGTGGTTGGAAGGGAATTACGGATTATAAAGGACACTCCTATCACTCAGGACATTCCTGGGATTTTAGGAGCTCCATGCCAGGAACCAGGGACAAAGACCAAATGTGTATTTCTTATACCAATGGCACGTTGGCACCTTTGATAGTTATCATCGTAGAAGAGGGTCTGGGTCACGGGTTACACAAGCTTTTGTTCTCCGGGCCACCAGTGCAGATCCATCCCCAGCTAATCCTCTTGGCCAAAGCTGTCCTGACGTCAGCTTCTTGTTGTCAGAACCTTATGCTTCTCCTCTCTCTGTTTGGCACAATTTCAGATCCAAGCCAACCCCAGCCAGTCAATGTTGACCTTGGAGGGAGAGGATGTGGGGGAGCTGGAGAAGGCCCTGCAGCACGTCGCCTACTTGAACTCCCGGCAGTTCCCCACACCTGGGATCCGGAGGCTCAAACTCAGCAGCACGGTCAAGTACGTGCCGACTTTAACAGTAAACCTGTCTGTTCACTGATCCTTGAGAAGAAAATGTGTTGTACTTGGGTTTTTAAGACAACCCAGCCTCCCCTCTGTAAGGAAAGGTGAGCTGTCACTCATTACGAGAAAGGTCGAGTGATGTTTATTGGTAATGTTTGGAAGCACATTGCAGGAGTGGCCACTGTCGTCTGTATTTGTGACATCTTGTGGGTGCCCCCTCCGCGTGCTCTCAAAGACCTGACCTTTCCTTCCCTCCCCTCCCCTGTTGGCAGGTGTTTTAACGAGGCCACCTGCATTTCAGTCCCTCCGGTAGACGGCTACGTGATGGTTTTGCAGCCCGAGGAGCCCAAGATCAGCCTGAGTGGCGTCCACCATTTTGCTCGAGCGGCTTCGGAATTTGAAAGCTCAGAGGGGGTTTTCCTTTTCCCCGAGCTGCGGATCATCAGCACCATCACGAGAGAAGTGGAGCCCGACGGGGAAGGGGACGAGGACCCCACAGGTAACAAACAGCCCCACGGCCTCAAACAGTTGCCCTCGACTTGAAACTGGGTGGCTGAGATCCCACAGCTGCTGCTGACTTCCTGGGCCCTTTTCTCTGGGACTTTGGGAGGTTTGGACGTTTTGATGCTGTTCTTGGGGCTGCTTCTGGAATCTGACCCAGGGCCAGAGCTCGTTCTGCTCTTCGGGGACCCACCTGGCGGGTCCTTTCATTTTTCTGGCTTGACATCAGAACCCGAACTGTACCCTGAGGAGCCTGCGAGTGCTGACACTGTTGCAGGAGACGCTGTCACTCTCCTGAGCCTGGAGCTGCCTCCCTGCTGGCCGGTCAGCTCCCAGGAGGACAGGGTCCCCCCATTCTCGGGCCTTCCCAGTGGCCAGTCCTCCTAGGTACATAAAGTACCCTCCGCCTTCCTCGAAAGTGACTGTCCTGTACCTCGGCCCCTGGCCCTTAAAAGGACCCTAAGTTTGAGCATGAGCCAGCCTCCCTGGGCCCCACAGCCTCTGCTAT